GAAGGAAGGAAGAAGTGGGGCAGCACATGAGGGTTGGTAAAAGCGGTCTGTCCCTCTAGTTAGGGGCCATGTGCTGGAAAGCAGTGTTAGGAGGCAGCAGGGAATGTTTGTGCAAAACTGGCAGAAGGTTTAGAGGACTGTCCCACCCTATTCTCCTGACTAGTTACAGCTAATCTTCTTGTGTTTACACAGACCAAACTCTTACCTGTTGGTGGTGCAGCATCACTAAAGTGACACAGTTGAGAAATCAGAGAATGAAAACATTAACTGTGTTACTGGATACCCAGAGAGTCCCTGCTGCCATCTTATCTTGCCCTCTCATGCACCCTTTGAAGCTCTCTTCTCTCCACTGGTTTGCATGTTGAAATGACGCCTGGAGCTCACAGATTAGTTGGTGATGGGCTGGGATCCAGGCACGTTCTCAGCCCACTGCCTGGGGAGCTGTGGCTACCATACTGCGGCCTCCCCAACCCCAGTGCCTTAGCCACAGAATTTTTAGAGGGGCCGTTTGCATCTTATCATTGGCTGTGACAGCAGTTCTGTGACGTAGATATTGTCATTTCTGCTAACTGAAAGCACATTCATCAGATTGAAATCTAGGTTTGAGACAAAACTTAAAATATTTATCACTGTCAGCAATTATAGCAATTAAACTTGAATCATTACCAACTAATCTGGAGATAAAGTCCTTAGTGATCACCTAAAAAAAGCAACTTCTATAGAAAAACATATAGAGGATCTGTATTATTTCCTTGTAAAATTATTTGTCCATTACAATCTAATATCGAACCCTCTATACCAAGGCAAAAAAATATGCATTGTAGTGGCATAACTTTTATAATGTGTTTCACTTTTAATGACAATGTATTTCCCACAAAATATTATTGACCCTCTCTTACTCAGAGATGTTTTGCTATCAGTTGAAATACCACAAACCAAAGCAAGAAAATGTTTCAAAAAAACAATACATTTCTTCATATGGTTAAAATAATTATAAACATTTTAATATTTGGTAGGAAAAACTCTTTAGTATCTAATTTTAGAAAATAATAACAAGTATTCATGAACACTTACATGTCTGAGTTTGATTTGGTCAGCATCTTGATTGTGATATAATTGTTAGAAATAAAATATATCCACCTTCTTCAGACTTACTCAGATCTCCATCAAATGAAAAAGTTAGAAATTAAAATATTAAGTATTATTTTCCTTATTAAGAATAAAAAAAAACAGGAGAATAGTTGAGCTATAATCCATTGTTTTCAGGAACAATCAAGGTTGGTAACATATTTAATTTCAGTTATTTTCATGTCCTTGCCCATTTGACTATGGGACTAAGATGATGTAACAAGGAGTGACAACAAAACACTTTGTACTCAAAGGAGAATGTGGGGCAGAACAGAGAGATGACCAGAATCTCAAAGGGACTAGATCATTATTTCCGTCAGTAGTTGACCATGTGTATTCTTTTTCTTTATTTTATAAAATGTTGCTTTGGTCCCAATCCCAGCCCACTTGTCAAATCATGTCAGAGAGTTGTCCTTATTTGAAAGCCTAGAGTGAGAGTTTCCTGTTGGTGCCAACTTTACTACATTCTGACACTCTTTTTTCCCTCAGCCTCCTTAGAGTTTTGTCTCTACTATTCCGCTGCAATGGCATGTCTGGCTAAATCTTAGGGTCATGTCTGTCTTGATAGTGTGTTAAACACTATGTCATTTTGTGTGACTGGCAGTGCCTGCTACTGGTATCCTGTCTGTTTGCCCTGCAAGGTACCACCTTCTCCTCCTCCTTCCCCTCCTGGCTGTCTCGCCTTCCTGGTCTTCTCTGCTAGCCCGGCTGTCTAGGCCCTGGGTGATGATGTGATTCACCCTCTTTTCCTCTGCATTTGTCCCTCGGGTGAGCTTTAGTTGAGCTCCAGTTTTTCATGCTACTCACATACCGATGCTGTTCACTTTTGTCTCTGTGCCAATATATCCCCTGACTCCTGGCTTTCCGTACTTCAGTCCCAAGGTGGATCTGCTGCTCTCTGTCGCTACCTTCCCTCTGTAGCATACTCTTCTGAACTATGCAGACTGAGAAGCTGCCACCCAGCTGCTCCTACTTTGTTATGATCAGGTTTCCCAATAGAATTTAACATCTGCCAATCACAGGCATGGCACGTGGGCAGGGCTTAGTTGGGGAATGCAGTTATTCCAAACACAGGCAGACAGGCATGTCTCATGACAAAGGGCACTCCTGTGGTCAGCATCTTCCTGAGGCACTGGAAGTGTGACCCTTTACCTCTCTGCCCTATTCTGTCCTCCCCAAGGACTTCCTCGGCCACATAATACCATTAGTAAATTGCTGTCTGCAGAAACCAGCCAGAATGGTTTCTGTTGACTGCAACTGAGTCCCCAAGAGCACAGTTGAGAAACACACTAGTTCAACAGGATTTGGCTGACTGCATCATGTCCCTAGGTGCGGAGACCACAGCTCCATGGGTCAGTCCTGTATTAATCTCCAGCAGCTTCAGTGTGTCACGCTCCTGCTAAACACCCCCCTGTCCTCCCCACGCCCAGCTCTCCTCTCTTACCTCCTAACCTCCCCTGGTCTACTCTGGCCTCCCTCGGAATACGCTCTGCCCCTGGACCATCTAGGTGGATTAGTCATTCTGTCATCCCCTGATCGTGTGCTCCTGCACATCGGCCTCATATTCTGAATAAAATCCAACCTCTTCAACCTCTCCCACAGTACCCCACAATACGTGCCCCCACGTATCTCTGACCTCATCCCTTACTTCTCTGCCTTATTGTGCCCTTCCCATGCATCAAACTCAGTGAATCTCAGGAACTTCACAGTTTCTGCTGCTTCTGCCGGAAACACTCAGGGTTCTAGCAAGTCTGCTGTCTCCAGCCATTTGGGTCTCTTCAGAGAAAGGCTTTGTGGCTACCTTATTTAAACAACAATTCTTTTCACAATGCCTTCACTATCTAGTTTGTTATTCTCCCTGTTTTTCTTCATGTATCACTGAAGGAAAGTCATGGCTGTGCATTTGCTCACATGTTTATCTCCAGCCTCTCCCAGCAGGAGTGTGAGCACCACCACCGCGGGTCTATGCCTCTCCTATGGGGTGCCTCGTCCCCAGCACACAGGGATGCCCTGCACACAGGAGGAGTCTAAAGATTAATCCCTAAACACATGAATGAGAAGACAAGTGTAAAAATGATGGCTTTTCTAGTGGTCTGAATAAAACCAGGTCTAATTAATTCCCATACTAAAAGTCAACACCAACATTTCTCCTACTTGGTAAATAACCTGTAAAATTAGAATAAATATTACAAAAGTTATGGGCATTTCTACTTCTCACAGAATGAAGGAGGACAAGGGGATGATTTACAAATTAACTCAGTGCCTTTTTTGTGACAAGGGAAAAGAATAAGAATCAAGACACATAACACTGAGACACCAGACACTGAACAGCATTTGAAACTCACTGCAGCAGAGAAGGAGCTGGGGAACGTACCGGAGGAGGCCATGGCATGCTCCAGAGGAAAAGTGCCTCCGACACTGGGTGGCGGCCAACGGAAGACAGAATGACCTCTACTAAAAAGGGGTTTCTTTTCCATGAACAGTTTCTGAAGACAGTGTAGTGAGGAAAAGCTCTGTATTCAGATATTTATCATTATTCATAAAACATCATTTGTTTCTTTGGATGCATATTAGCTGCTCCCAGTAGTGCTACAACCAGTTTCAAGGGATTTGCACTTTCAGAAGTGATTATTCTAAATGATCCTCGTGTAATTCCCACACGCAGAAGCATAGGCTGCATTAAATCCTCCTCATCGGCTCTTTCTTCCACTTCCTTTCATCTGTTTCCTACGTTTCTCGTCGTTGCTTTATTTTTCTTTCTGATCTAACTTTGAGGTGATTCAAGAGCTAGACATAAAAATGACAGGAACCATATTTAATGAAATAGAAGCTTCAATGAGATGTGGAGACTACCATCCTGCCCATGTTAATCACGATAATGCACTTCATGTATATCACCACTTACAATTTACAACACACCTTTTCACATCAATCTTCTGTCCACATTCCATGCTGCCCACCTTCCTTGCAGTGAGTGGGTACATATCACACTTCCCATATTACACAAGCAAAAATCTCTGCTATTAAAGCCATTTTCATCAGTATTCTGGAAAATAAGTCTTTAAGAATACGTGAGCCTTTCAGTCACTGATTGCTCACATGTGGGTTTTTATTGTTCTTAATCTGCACGTTGCCCCAAGTGAGTCGGAAGACAAAACAGCACAGTTCTTGTTCCAGAAGAGGCCGTTGTGTGGAACCTTTGAAGAAAAGTGTAGTCCTGGCTGTGGTTTGTGTTGGCATTTCCCTGATGATGAACTAATGTGACATATGTCCAGTGGAACTCCTGCTAGCTATGTTTGTCTTCCTTGGAAAATGTCTGTTGAGATCCTTTGCAGTTTTTCCCTGGGCATGTGTTCCTCCACGAGCTGCCGGGTCCCTGGTGTACTTGAGGTACTAAGCTCCTGTCAGCTCTGGCTGTGCAGATTCCCGTTCTGTTTGTTGCGGAGTCTGGTGTCATCTGCTTCCTTGTTCTCCTTTGTCACCTGCGCTGTTGATGTCCTATCAAAATAATCACTGACAAGACCAGCGTTGGGGAGATTTGTCCCTCTGTCTTCTTGTGGGAGGTTTATAGGTTCTGGTCTAACACTGAGTCCTTTAATCTATTTTAAGTCCATTTTTCTGTGAATAAGGTTGTTATTTAATGAATTAAGACTGATGAGGGTATGGAGAAAAGGGGATCCTTGTATGCTGTGGGTGGGAATATACATCAATGTGGTCAGTATGGAAAACAATACAGAAGTTCATTGTTGTGTACAGATCTACCATAGATCTTAGTCCATTTCCTCCTTCTATTATAGAATACCAAAACATGGTAAATTTCTAACAAAATGGACTTCTCACTGTTCTCTAAGCTGGGAAAACCATTATTAAGGTCTTGCATTTGGAGAGGTCCTTCCTTCCTTCTCTGTCATAATGTGCCGGAGGCATCACAGAACTTGGGAGGCCTGTGTTAGCCCGGGTTGGCCTTTCTCTTCTTACAAAGCCACCTACCCCAGGGCTCAGGTGCAGCTCAGTGGTAGAACACTTTTCTGGCATGCATGAGGCCCAGGGGTCTATCCAAGCACTGCAAAAGACAAATAAAACCAGCCATTAACACCATTTCAAGGTCTCCACCCTAATAACCTCATCTAACTCTAATGACTTCTAAAGCCCCCCTCTAAATGTCATCGACATATGAATTTGGGGATTAAGTTTCCAAAGCATGTACTTTGGAGGGGACACATCCTATGCAAAGCACCACATGACCTAGCATTTCCATTTCTGGGTGGGTGTCCAGTGGAATCGACATCAGGATCTCTCAGAGGCAGTGGGATCCTCCTGCCTCCTGCAGCATTGTGTACAGAGCTAAGACAGGGAACTAACCTGAGTGTCTGTCCATGGAGGAGGAATATCTATCAACCGACAGAATTAATGTGACTTGTATCCAGTGGAATTCCACTCAGTCTTAAGTCCTGACATTTGCAACATCCGTGAACCTGGAGGACATTAAGTTTGGTGAAATAAGCCAGATACAGAAACACACCCTGTACGACGTCTCCATATGTAGAATCAGATCAAACTCACAGCAGCGGACAGCCGAGTGGTCATCAGGCTGGGAGATGTGAGTGCAGAGGCGTACTTCCACGTGTACAGGGCTTCAGAGAAGCAGGAAGGCTGGCTCCAGGGATCTAGCGTGCACTGTGGCTGCTAGTGGTGATGCTGTGCTGTGTGCTTGGCGCAGCCTGCAGACATGGATGTTCAGTGTTCTCACCACCAAAAGAAAAGAACAGAGGAAAAGGCAGATATGTCAGAACATGGATAGTTAATTGACTTGAGTGTGGCCATTATTTTGCAAAAGACACCTACATCAACTCATCAAGTTGCACAACCTAAATTTTGTAAAGTGAAAGTTAAATGTCTAAAAAAAGAAACACATAAACCAAATGCTTATTACTAAAATATGTTTTAAACTATGGCAACAGAGCCATTAGCTTAGTAAGGGCTGAATAAGAAATTACTTAAAAGAAAAAAAATGAATAAAAATTCAGCATTTTGACGGCCAGTTTGCCAAGCCCAGTGGAAGAGCAGAAGATGCCCTCTAGAGCCGGGGGCCGGGGTCTCCTCCCTGGGCCAACTCCTATTCTGGTGTCGGCCTCCTCTCCATCCCCTTTCCAGAGCATGCTGGTGTGCAAATGCTTTCACTTCTCTTGGTTAGTTAGCCAGCGAGGAGCAAATAATGTGCTAAAGAACCAGAGGAGATGCAGCAAGTCACAGTGACAGAGGTCTCTCCCTCAGCATCTGCCTGACAGCCTCTTCCAGGAAGGGAGGGAGGGGCTGTGGAAAGGCTTCTCTGGCCGCCACTCCTGCCCCTGTCCTAGGTGCAGATCATGGTCCACCAGAGCAGAGCTGCTCTGGGCTGGAGGGTCAGCTGGCAAGAGGCCCCAGGCCAGAGAATCTTAGAGCTGCTCCCTTGTTGGATTGCTGTGCCCAGAGGTCGACCCTCCTCTGCACCTGTAGGATTCATTTCCATATTTCAATTATGAGAAGGTAAAAAGTTCTCACACATCTCCATATCGTTAGACTTTCTGGGTTTCCTTTCCTGGTCCAACAGTGAGCCAGTCACCCAGTGGCCTGCAGGGCTTCCTTTCTAATCAGGTTTTTACCTTTGTGCTGTGGGGAAAATTAAATAGGATGCCCATTAATTAGCATGCAGCTCTGCTCATTCACTTAGATGTCATCGCCAGGACCTAAGTCCCCATGATGGAGCTACAGCCGGAGAATAGACTGAGGCGCTGCTTTTTAAAATCCATCTTCGATATGATTATGATGAGGTGTTCCTGGAACAGGCTCAGCAGCCAGAGAGGAATGGCATATTTTAGGCTTCCTCCAGCTATAGTTAAGAAAATCCCTAGGGTACCTACTCCAGCCTCCTTCCTTCCTCTCCACGCGGCATGTGTCAAGACTCAGAATGGTTTTATATTATTTCTGAAATAACCTTTAACCCTCTCCAGACTGCCAGAGAGTGTGGAAATGGGAGCTGCCTTGGGCTGTGTGAGCCAAACGCCTGGGCCACCCTCCAGAGGTAGCCCAGGACTCGCCCTGCTCTTCCTTCTCCAGCCTCCACCTGTTAACAACATCTTGCTTCCTGGAGATTCACTTCGCCTCACCCAGGAGCTGTGCCCTCTGCCTAAATAAGGATGCTCTTGTGCACTGGAGCATGTAGAAATCAACGTGGACACATCCTCCTAAATTTTTGGTGAGTAAAAGAGTGTAGTATACAAAATCCTATGATTATACTCTCTTGAGACATAGATTCAGGTAGAAACTTAACCACAAAGACATGTCAAATAATGAATTGAACAATAGATTTTTTTTTCCTGACACTCTACACTGTCTTTGTAATAATTCAGGGCTAAATGTTTAGGATATAGTAAAATGTTTACAATTGAAATAATGTGAAAATGAGTGCTTTCTGTACAATAGCCATAATAACTAATTATATTGCAACAGAATTTACTGAAATTTACTGTGAGTTTTGGTAACCATAGGTGCAGTGAGGAGCAGAACAGAGAGATCTTGAAATAAAACAACAAAGTGTGTATGAGTGTGTATGAGGATATGCATGAGGGTGTGTGTGTGTGCGTGTTTGTGTACCTATGATGTGTTGCTGTATGGAGTTTAAAATTAAGGCTGACTATTAGGTCATTAAGTGCACCTTGCCATCTGGGGAAAATGGAGGGCCTGAGGGAGCCAACACAAGTCTACTCCCCTCCTCGCCTCCCTGCACAAGGTCCCAGCTAAGCAACCCTCTTTGCTCTGAAGTCGAAGCCTAGTGCCTGCTCAACCCTGAGTGGGGGGCTTCAGCTCTCTGCCCACCCACAGAGTTAGTGAAGCAGGCCAATCTTCAGCTCTCACAGGAAGCAGGGTTGTTCACAGCAATGCTGCACAAAGCTCTGCCTCTCTGGGATCTGTCCTCTCACTCTGCACCCCTTGAGGCTGCTGCATGGACCTGCGTGTTACACACTGTCTTCCCCTCCTAGGCTGTGACTAATAAACTGCTGTAAGTCTCCCCTGTCTAGTGCCAGGTGCCAAGGATTCAGCCATCCCCTTAACCTGTGTGATGGGGAGGCCATCAGAAAGTTCATAGGTATATATTACGCATATAGATAGCTGTATGCATTTCTGTTTCACAGAATCTTATATAAACCTTTTATTCTTTTACTGCAAATGAAAATTTATAATTGTTATCAATTTAAGATAATCTGTTCCTTCTTAATTTGGAATTGCACCTTATAAGTGGTTCTTTCCCTGAGAGAATTCTAAGCTTCCCTGGATGGAAACCAGCATTTTCTCAAACCAACTTCTGCCAAATGGACCAAATGATAATCCTAAAGATTGTTTCATGATTGTTTCATATACAATAGTAAAGAGAGGAGAAATGTCCTGTTCTAAAAATAAGCAACCGTATATATAATGGCCAGTAAATGGAACATTTGCAATAAGCACTTTATAAAACTTTTGCTTAAGAGATTTTCTAGCAATAAAGTTGTCTCATCCATCAGGTTATGAGCTGAACCTCAGTTCTGAGTACTCTGAGCAGGTTCAGGGTTAAAATGCATTCAGACATGCAGGAATAAGGTGGAGTGATTGAAAATGTGTCAGAAAATTCCCATGTGAAAATGTTCTTATGCAATGCTGACATGGTCCCTGAAATTCACACCACTTTTAAAATTCTTTTTTGAAGGATTTATTCAGAAAAAAACTCTAATAAAAGAAAATATGATCTAGTGTAAGTAGTACATTTTTTAGATTTATCTTTTGTATCTAAAGTCAGCATTCTAAGGAAAGAGATTGAAGAGAAAAGCATTTTATGTCCATCTCAAAAGAACTAAAGAAATATTGTGTGACTCTCTGGCTATTGGAGATTCTCATCTGCTTGCTTGGCACAGGGATGTCAAGTCCAGTGGCTGTCACATCACAGGAGACCACTGAGATACATGCCATTTCCTTACTGTAGGCACATTCCACATTATTACTCTGGACATTTAAAAAAATACTTGATGTCAGCTTTGCTTGAATATTTGATAATGAGAATTTCCTGGAATCATTGTGAGGACCAAATGAAATAATAAATGCAGGATACCAGGTAAAAACCTCCTTCATTAATGTTTTTCAGTAAGTGGCTTTTCGGGGGGAATGACAGCCAGCATCTGAGTAAGGGGTCCTTCTTTCTGTCTAGGAACCCAATCTACCCTAAAACTTATAATCTCAGATATTTAGCAAATAACAAACACAAATACTCAAAAATATATTCACAGAATGTGAAACACCTGATAGTTCTAGTCCACATGGGTTCTGGAACTAGGTGAAAGGAAAATGCTGGTTTAGTTAAGGGGGGTACATCAAAGGCAGGGATAAGGTTTCAAGGGCAGAGTCTCGCTTCATGATGTCTTGCAATCTGCAGGTTGATTGATACCTTGGCAGGTCACACCCAACCCAGGTGCTGTGGGGGCCATGGCAGAGCGGGAAAGACATTCACATTATTCCTGGGCAATTGGCCAGAGGAAATGCCCATTCCCAGGCACCAGATGTCTCTATCCATGAGGCTTCCAAGTGCAGTGACCCACCTGCAATCCATGAACGGCTTGTGACAAGTGACAGTAATGTTGTGGTTTTAAATATTTACTTGGGCTAATGCTAGTTGTTTAAAAGTAATGATCTTTATTTTTTATTTCAATAGTTTAATCATCATGATTTTCTATCTTCTTAGGGTGAGAGACAAATCTACCCATCATTAGTCTACACCTGCCTGTGCCCATTTATGTTTAATTTAAGACAGTAATTTTGCACCAAGCCAATAATTCTAAACATTTAAATGCATCCCTAATTATTTTGAATATGTAAGCTTGTTTGGCAGTTATATGCCACTTCCCCCACTCTGTGCTCCTTTCCAATATGGCATCTGGGTTTCATAAAGGAGAGCAAGGGTGTGTGTGCTCTGGTGCACATTTGTTAGGTAACCTCCCTCAACAGCCTGAAACAAGTGACTTTCCATTTCCTCTACTTTTCATCCTGAATGTCCCAGAGGACTGGGACACACACTCACATTCTGCAATCTAAACCTCTAGATCCACCACTTAAAGGGAAGCTTCATTATTGAAAAATGTCCTTCTGGCCAAAGAGTCTGGCTTTCAGAACCCACTCTCTCATTTTAAACAGTTGGTTGTCACTGAGACTCAAGTCCATAAAGAGCTTCTCTTGTCAAATCATAGAAGGATGCTCTCTTTTCCCCAGGAAATTTCACAGCTTAACTCTGATAGAGGGATGAATGGGAGCATGATACGGAAAAGAAACACCAGAAACTTATGGATTAATATCTGCATAATTTATCACTGTTGCAAATACCCATGTTCATGGAATGTATGATATCCACATATGCCCTGCTGGAGAACCTGGCTGCTGTGTGTAAAGTGTGATGTTCAACTTGAAAAGCCTGAAGCTACCATCCTTCAAGCTCACACTCCAGCACGGTCTGGAAAAGCAATAGAAAACTTTTAAAAAGTCTTGTTGTGTGAATGAATCATAAACTCCCCAGGCCAGATGGTAAGTCATAATGTGCCAAATATCTGTGTCATTCACAATACTACAGTAAATGAAATTAGCACTAGTTGGCACTATCAATCGTCAAGTGTTAATTTGCTAGACATTCACAATCTTCCTGATGCTACTTTTGCAGGTAGTTTTAAGGATGTATTAACATATTTTT